GAAAGATTTTAGGCTTTGTGGGCCTTATGGTCTCTGCTGACACTCCAGGTCTCCCATTACAGTCTGAAAACGGTCACAGACAACACATAAACAAATAGGTGTCACTATGTTCTAATAAAACTGTTTGTGGACACTGAAGAGTAAATTTCATGTAATTTTCATGTATTATGAAATAGCCTTTTTTTTTCCTTAAAAAAATTTTAATTTCGAAGCTATTCTTAGCTCAAAGGTTGTATGAAACAGGCTCACAGGCCATAAACTGCCAACCCAGCCACAGATGATGAAATACTCAGGTACACTACAACAATACGTTATGTAACAATAAACAGTAACAGGTCAAAGAGAAAACACACTGTTCAGGACCAAAAGAGTCAAAAGCTTCCTGGAGAAAATGGGATTTGGGTTGGACCTTAAAGGAAGGGTAAAATTTAGACACACGGTGGGAGGGGTCTGTCTGGCATCTGGGAGGTAAGAGAACAATGATGAAAGACAAGTTGATGATGCGGAAGTTGCAGGAGACATGGAACGGCCTTAAATATCAGAATGAGGACTTAAACCTGACCCTCATACAAACGGCGTTTCTACATTGTTCTTGCAGAGGAAACGCAAGGCCGAATTGACAAGAGTAAAAGTCAGAGCAGGGAGACCGAGATGGGGACATCGCAGTTGTGCAAAGTGCAAGAGTCCGGGTGAATGTAGTGACAGCAACGGAAGAGAAGGGACAACGTCACGAAACACAAGGCACGAAGAACCAGTCGACGCGGCGACTAACAGGATGTAGACGAGAACTCAAAGTGACCATTGGAATTCAGGACCAGGAAACTGGGAAAGTTCTTCAAGCATTCATTGGTTATTTGGCACACATCCCGGCCAGGACCTGTACTGGGTGTCGGGGAAAGAAGACCCACGTGGCGTACAGATGACAGTTTAGTAGCAGAGAGATGGTCAGCTGTCGGAAGCCAGCCAACCAAGTCAAACCGGGTACCTGAATGGGGGAGCGGGGACTGAGAAAAAAGAGAAGACAGACAGGGTGCAGGAGGGAGAACAGATCTCACAACTGTCTCTCCGAGTTTATTTCTTATGCTTCTTTTTATACATAATCTGTTCCTTTTGGTCTCCCAAGATAACATAATTAAAGTAACATCCTGAAGATCAAGGTACAATCGACACTTCCTTTGACACTCCCTTTGACACTCCCTTTATCTATACTTAATCTTCTTCTTCCTGGAATTCGACAGAACCAGCCTTTTCCTTTTTATGCAAGCAGGCCTCCCGAGATAATCCATGCACTCTTTTGAATTTGGGGAGCTTTATCTTCCTACAGTCAGCGAAGGCAATGTTGTTATCCATGCTATGACAGAAGTTTGGGCTAGGGCAGTGGGAGTCCAGAGAAAGGACTAGAATGAGATTTAATGCGAACAGGTGTCAAAAAGAAACTGCTAAGAATAGCAAGGTCCCTGGACCCGGGCTGTGGAGTCTGGAGACACCCGTGTGCTGGAAAGCGGGTAACCAAAGTCGGGATGTGGAGGTGCTCTGGATACTGTGGTGTTCAGATGTTAGCTATTTTTACATTTACCAGAGCCGTGTGACTAGACGAACTGTCAGGGAGGAACACGGACGAAGAAAGGTGGGGAGCTTGAAACTGAGCATTGAAGAAAAGCCTACAGTTTTTCCTAACTCACAGGCTTAGGAATAAAGGAGAACCCAAGAAAAGAGAAAGAAAAAGGAGCTGTTAGAAACAAAGATGGAGAAGCAGGAGTGCGTAACATCGCAGAGGCCAGCGAGAAAGGGTTTCTGAGAAGACGGTGTGGCTGCAGGCAGGCGAGAACTGCGGAAGGTCGCCTGGGCCACAGGAGACCACTGGTGAATGCAGAGATGGGAGAGTAAAACCAGGTTACAGGGTGCAAAGGGAAGGAGGCAGCCTGCAACCGTCAAGGAAGTGTTTGTGCCAGAACCCGGGGCACCAAACAGACTGGAAACCTGGCTCAGCAGACACCCGAGTCAGGTGGCCACATGTCAAATGCAGATGCGGCAGGTGGGAGCGGCAGGTGGGAGCGGCAGGCAGCTGCGGTTCTAACAGGAATCAGACTAGACTAATGAGAATCTGGTCAGAGTCAGGACGGCAAAGGATGATCACCTGGGAGAGACAGCCACCGAAGGGAAACGAGAAGCGTCATCCAGATGACACCATGGAACCCACGTGACTGGCATGAAGCAGATACCTGCTAAACGTTTGCTGAGTGAATGACACGATGCCACGTGCAAAGAGCATGAGTTTGGAATCAGACCTCAGTTTGTGTCTTTGCCTATTTGTTCCTTCCACAAACAGTCATCACATGTGCCAGGAGTACACAAGACCCTCAGGGGCCAAAAGTAAAAGAGGCAGTGCTGGACCTGACAACTCAGAGTTGGAAGGAAAGAGACGGGTGCTCCGCAATGTGGTGTGTGCCAGGACCAACGTGAGCAGAGGTGTAGCCTGGCTCCCAGGCTCCCAGAGGTGACCCTCGGTGCTCTGGCCTGAAGGCCCAGAGGTCGGGAGGTCCAGGGAGGGATGTGTGGAGATCCCGAGCAGACAGAATATGAAGGGCAGATGTTTGGAGGCAAGTAAGCACAGTGTGTTCAGGGAACCCCAAGTGCTCACGCACCTGTGGAGCCAGAGCGTGAGGTGTCAGGTCAAGGGGAGGGACGTGGAGTGGGAACACTTGAGGCCAGAGCAATAAATAGGGGCCAGGTCACAGAGGACTTTGTGTGGCATGCTAACGAGTTTGGATTTTATCCCGAAGGTGATGAGGAGCAAATGAAGAATTTTAGACAGGGAAGAGACATGATCAAATTTGCATTTTAGAAATGGCAACAGCATGGAGATTGGGGTGGAGGAAAGGAGGCTGTCACAGTAACGCGTAGGGGACAGTGGGGACCTGAACTCAGACAGGAGGCTGTGGGCATGTTCGGGCAAGCAAGTGGGGATGACAGGGCATGGCATCTGGTCACTTTTAGAGGGTGAGGGAGGGAAAGGAGGCCCCGCCTGCATCTCAGCCTCAGCTCTGTCTCTCTAGACCTCTCCCCGCCCACTCCTAGCCTAAAATATTCCGCCCCAGCAAGACGGGCCTGCCAGTGGGGCTGCCATCCTGCTCCGCTGTACCTGGCTTCTTGAATTTCTCAGGTTGCACCCTCTGCCTGAACTGCCTTTTGTTTTTACCTGGCTAATTCTTCATTATCCTTTAAAAATCAACTTGGTCGTCGCTCCTTCAGGAAGCCTTTCCTGCCTCTTTCTCATCGCCCCCTTGTCAAAGCAGGGCCAGGTGCCCCCATCTGTGCTCCCAGGATGCTCTGCGCACAGCAGCACCGGTGATCCGACGACACTCCTTTGTGTCTCTCCAAAGGTCTGTCTCCCCGACCAGCACGCTCAAACTCCACGGGGACAGGAGAGCATCTTGTTCATCTTTCCATTCCTAGTGTCTCACAGATAGCAGATTCCTGGTCAATGTTTGCTGATTGAACGAATCAGTGTGAATTCTAACAGAGTCACACTCGAGCAAAGATACCAATGGATGCGCACACGTACAGATGCTTATACCTCCCGGGCCCAGATCTGAGCGCTGTGCTCTCCAGAAGCCCGCTCATCTCGGGATGCAATATGCTGTGCACACTCAGGTGCAGTGCCACTTGAAGGGAAGGCCGCCCACTCATTCGGGGACCTAAACAGGCTCTCGTTAACTCAGTCTCTTCTCTCTCTGTGTTTTCATGACTGTGGCCTGCACTTGGGTTTTTAACTCATCTGTAGAGCTACATTAATTATAATGTAAATCTTAACTGGAGAAGCAGAAGACATGACAGAAAAAAAAGGGGGGAAAGGAAACTGCTTCTGTCCCGTGGGAGAAGAGTGTAAGGAAGTGCAGAAATGGCCAAAGTCCCGAGAGAGTTCAGGGACAAGGACCTTTCTCGCTGGAAGCCTGAGACTTGGACTTCATTACAGCGTGTGTGGGATCAGACTTATCCAACATATTGCCCATTCCCTAAACATCCAAATAGTTTTGGAAATCACTTCTTCTATTCGCTGATGTTGAGAGAGCATGTACATACTTCTTACACCTGCAGAAACACTCTTTGGTCCCCACAAAGCGCACTGGACAGCCCCGAGCGCTCTAATTTCTGGTTCTTAAACTTACTCGTAAGGCGCGTATTTGCAGGGCCCACTGAAAAATGAAAATGCAGAGCCCCTTCCTCAAAACTCATTAAGAATTTCAAGAGAGCAACGTCAAGACCAAGACCCCTCCCAGCACAAGGCCCTGTGTAACTGCATAGGTCACATGCCCGTCAGCCAGCTCTGGCACAAGAGTCCCCAGACTCATGCCAACTACCTCCAGTTTGTCAGAGGCCGCTGTGGGCTTGGCCCTCCCAGTCAGGAAGCAGGGTCCCCTCCGGCCCTCCGCAAGACCCTGCCTGCCAGGGCTTTCCATCCAGAAGCCTCCTGCACCTGTTCCCGTTTCTTCTGCCTTTGACACTGCGTGTGAAGAAGCCTGCTCTGCTGCCCACTCTCTTCCCGGCGTGTCCAGGAGCCACACCAGGGGGCTACAGCTCTAGCCTGAACTGGGCAGGAGGAGAAACTGCCAAGGGTCTGATTAGGGGCAGCTCCTAATGAGTCACGACCTCCGCACCCATCAGGGCCCCTCCCCATGTGCCAGCAAGTGGCACCAGGGGCATGATGGGAAAACCTCCCACAGGCCTTCGCTCTGGGTCCAGAGTCTGTGTGCTCCCTGGGTAGTCTCTACGAACTGGCGGCCACACGCAACTCAAGTCCCTCATTTTCCAGGTACCCAGGGCCACGATCCCTAAACCTGGGCAGCGGCTGAGACCAAGGGGGAAGCGGGGGTAGATTAGGGGTTTGGGGAGGGGCACCGCACTCCAGAGTCTGTGGCCTGCAGGTGACATGCTGCCTCAGGGGAGCAGGTAGGAAAGCCTTGGGTGGCCAGAGACTAAAAACAATAAGGTGGTGATAACGTAGGTGTCCAGCCCAGGGCATGTTTGGGAAAATGCTCTGCAGAGGGGGGACAAGGGGGTCACCGGTGGCCCAGAGCTGACAGCTGACCCCTCCCACACTCAGGGGCCTGTGACAGCCACCTCAGCCCCTGAAGCCATGGCTGGCGGGGAAGATGAGCTGAGAAACTGTGTGGTGTGCGGGGACCGAGCCACAGGCTACCACTTCCATGCCCTGACTTGTGAGGGCTGCAAGGGTTTCTTCAGGTGAGAGCCGACCCACTCCCCAGTAGAAACAACCCCCAGACTGCCTGCCAGGCAACCTTTGAGCCCTGTCACAGGCCCCAGCTAGTCCGGTTACATCACTCCTGCATCCTAGGGCCTAGCGCCCTGTGGCCAGCTTGTGGCATCTCGCCAATCGCCATGCTGTATAAACAGGGGCATAATACCAGGAAGGCCAGGTGTGTGCCCGTGGACACAACCCCTCAGACAAGAGGGCTCACTGTGTGGCTCACTGCCCACCAAGGCTCAGGCTGGTGCTGCATTAGCTCAGCTCCCCGGACCTATCCTGTGCCCCCTGGAAATGCTTGAGTACGTCATGCCCCATCCACCCTGAAAGACCTTTGGACACGGCTCAGATTAGCCCGTGCCACCAGACGTTCTTCTAAACCATGTCGTCTCAGCGCCTCATACAGCCGCCTGTTCACTGCTGTTCCCAACCCTCACAGAGTCTCTGTCTCTCACAGACGAACAGCTGTCAAAAGCTCTGGTCTCGCCTGTCGCTTTGCTGGAAGCTGTAAGATCAGCAAGGCCCAGAGGCGTCACTGCCCAGCTTGCAGGTTGCAGAAGTGTCTTGACGCCGGCATGAAGAAGGACAGTGAGTCAGCCTCCTCCCACCCCAAGAACCCACAGACTATCTCTCTGCTCGCCCCTGTTCTCACAGTGCCTTCTCCACACAGCGAGCACAGTAAGCTTCTCGGAACAAGTCATACGATGTCAGTATTCTGCTCAAAGGTGCCAGTGGCTCTCCGTCTCTCCGCAGCCCATGACCTCACGCTGGCTCCCCACCGTACCTGTCAGGCTTCATCCCCTACGCTTTCCCCTGGTTCCACCCACCCCGCCCCACTGGCTCCAGCGCCCCCTTCAGACACACCTGGCCCACACTGTCCTCAGGACGTCTGCCCTTCGGGCTGTCACTCCCTCCCCTGGAGTACTCTTTCCTAGGTCCTCGGCTTGCTTTTTCTCTTCTGCCTCTCAAGTACAGTGCCTGTCACTCATAAGTACTCAGTAATCATTGAACTGATGACCTAGTGCTTCTTCTGTGTGCCAGCTAATGAGGCTGTCCTCCCAGCAGACAATGTAACTGGGCTCACCAGAAGTCAACTTGCCCAAATTCACTCAGCTAAAAAGTTGTGGACTTAGCGCTCCAGCTCCGCGGTCTGTCCTCCGGGCCTCGGCTCTGTCCCGTGACATCGCACTGCTTTTCAGTGTGGAGCAGTGGAAAAGAAACTGCAGAAGTCCAATGGTCTGGGTTGGAATTCAATACACATCACTTAAGTACTTTGTGACCTTGGACCTGTCACTGGAATCTCAGCCTGTCGAGGTTTCTGAAAAATATCGGTGACAATGCCTGCCCTGTTTACCCATGGCATTGTTTCGTCCTGTGGGATTTAAGCTCAGAACCTTTGTGATTATAATGCTATACAAACATAAAATGATGCTTTAGGTATCGAGAGCCCTCCCTCTTCAGTGTCCCCCAGAGGCCGAACGTCCAGCCCTGTGGCCATCTCACTGTCCGCCCCGCCTGTCTCCACCCAGTGCACTGCTTTTCCTCACAGTGGGGGGAGTGTACAGGGAGCCCCAACCCCCAGCCTCTGGGACATCAGCCAAGCCCAAGGAGGCCTCTGAACCTCCCTCCCTCCCACATGCCTCACTGCAATGCGTCTGGTCAGGACCTGGCAGAGGGATGTGCTCTCTCCTGGTCTCAATAGTTCTGTCACGTCTTTTGCCTGGGCACAGTGATCTTGTCTGCAGAAGCCCTGGCACTGCGGCGAGCAAAGCAGGCCCAGCGACGGGCACAGCGAGCACCCCCCGGGCTGAGCAAGGAGCAGAAGGAGCTGGTCCAGACACTCCTAGAGGCCCACGCCCGTCACATGAGCACCATGTTTGGCCAGTTCGTGTGCTTCAGGGTGAGCACTGAAAGGATTCGAGCTGGAATGTGGCCAAAAGGGGGCCCGAGGTGGCCTGCCCAAGGGAGAGGGCGGGATGCCTGCAGCAACTCTTCTCCAGGGCCCGGGCCTCGCAGGCAGCTCAGCCCAGAGCCCTTCTGAAATGAGGGTGGAGAGGCCAAAAGCGGGGCGAGGCCCGGCGTCTCACTCGGGCTCCGATCTCTGCAGCCTCTGCCTCACCTGTTCACCCACCACCAGCACCTGCCCGACTCGCTGCCCATGCTGCCTTTCCTGATGCACTACGCGGACGTGAACACGTTCATGGTACAGCAGATCATCAAGTTCACCAAGGACCTGCCCTTCTTCCGGTGTGTGCCCTCCCACGGCTTCAGGAAGAAAACACTCCATCCCCACCACCAACAAGCAGAACAAAACAAAAACATAGCACTGAGCAAACTAAGCCATCACTCCACCTTTCCGGGAACCAGGTCTTCAGTCCCCAGCTTTCAGTGTCACAGCAGAAGTGGGAGTCCTCTCGCTCCCTGAAGTTCCAGCTGGTGACCAGGGCACCTGTTTCCTGCCCCCCACAGGTCCCTGCTCATTGAGGACCAGATCTCCCTTCTCAAGGGGGCAGCTGTAGAAATCTGTCACATCGCACTCAATACCACGTTCTGTCTCCGAACACGAAACTTCTTCTGTGGGCCTCTTCGCTACACAGAAGAAGACGGAGCCCTAGGTGAGCCGGCCAGAACAGCAGGACAGCTCGGGTCCTTGCGGTGTGGCACATGGCAAGGTGATCTGAAGGCTCCTAAGCCCGGTCTCTCCCACAGTGGGGTTCCAGAAAGAGTTCTTAGAGCTGCTCTTCCGCTTCCACGGGACCCTGAGGCGGCTGCAGCTCCAGGAGCCCGAGTACGTGCTCATGGCGGCCATGGCCCTCTTCTCGCCCGGTGAGCCCCCAGCCCGGCAGCTTTGGTCCCCACGGCTTGGTCCTGCTCCTTGAACCTATCCACCTAGGCCTTTTAGTCGTCAACCCCAGGGAAGGGGTGTATCCCAGCCTCGGCTGCCTAGAGCACTGTGACCACCCCCCCAACCCATCTCACCCCGTCCCACCCCCCACGCTCCCCGTCCTGCAGACCGGCCCGGCGTGACCCAGAGGGACAAGATTGACCAGCTGCAAGAGGAGGTGGCGCTGACTCTACACAGCCACATCAGAAGCCAGCAGCCGAGGCCGCGGGACCGGTATGGGGGTGACCGGGCGCTCGGAGGCTCAGGCTGGGAGAGGTTGGGACACACGGAGCTCAGGAGAAACACTTTAGCTTCCCTTCCTTCGGGAACACAGTTCCCCTGGGGAGCTAGCCCTTCCCTCCCGCCTCACAGACGCAGCACCCGAACCGTTCCGCCTGCTGTTGCGCCTCACTTTTCCAGATTGTTTTATTCAGTAGAGATGCTAAGCAGTGGCCCGCAGGCTCTGCATGACAGCATTCCCGAGGCTGGGGACACCCATCCCCTCAGCCATCCGACTTCTCCAGACCAGAGCAGCCTTCCAAGGGTCTCGCTCGTTCTCTGCCGGCCCTTCCTCACCCCTCCGTCTCCCACCTGTCATCCCCTCGATGTCAGTCGTTCACGGCTTCATGGCCAAAGCCTGTCCCTGGCTCCAGTCCGTGGCCTCTCCAGGTCCGGAGGTGTGCTCCACATCCACTCTGGTTCATCTTCAATGAGCCGGAGGACACGCCCACAGAACAGGGCCGCCTTCTAGAACATGCTCTAGGAGGCAGGCCCTCACATGCCACAGGGCTGAAGTTTGGCCACACCTGCGGCTGCCTCCACATATGGCCCTCAGAGCTCTGAGTTCGAGACAAACGGCATGGGGAGAGAAGACAGGGGACCTCTGAACGGCGGACTAATCGGCCATGCCGGAACGCCTCTTTCTCTAGCGCTCGGACCCGGTTTTGCTGAGGTGGCTCAGGGCGCCGAGTCAGGACAGGACTCTCAGCTGCCTGTTTCCCTGGTGACCCCACTCCCTCCTCCACAGGTTTCTGTATGCGAAGCTGCTGGGCCTGCTGGCTGAGCTCCGGAGCCTGAATGACGCCTACGGACAACAAATCCAGCACATCCAGGAGCTGTCCGCCATGATGCCCCTGCTGCAGGAGATCTGCAGCTGAGGCCCCGCTCGCCTCCTGCCCCGGGCCCCTGGACACGCTGCGCTGGGCAGGCCGGGGGCTGGGACCAGCAGCGAGGGAGCCTGGTGGTCACAATGAAATACTAAAGTGATGAGTGCCTCTTCGTGCAGTCGTGGGGGGAATGGTGGGTGCTGACCACGGGGTGAAGCTGTTCTCAGGAAGCACAAGAGTGGGGGGGGCGCTCCTTCTGGGAATGGGTGGCCCCACTTTCTCAGGTCAAAGGCTGCTTCCCAGCCTTGGAAGGCTCTGGGACAGAAACCAAGATGGAGAGCTAGTCTCATGCAGACCTTTCTGCTCTGATGAGGAAGAGGCGAGGTGCTTTAATCCACAGGGAAGTGAGGGGCAGAGTGACGGGGGACAGCTGGGCCACACATACACCCTAACCCTCCTCCCGCCGTCCAGAGGCACAAACATGAGAGGATGATGCTGGGGCTGGCGGCAGAGGGGGAGCCTCCAGCCACTGCCTCCCCAGCTCCAGTTCTGAGGAGGGCACGGTGCTGTCCCCCACTCTGCTCCCGGAAACTCGAGGTCACCCAGCAAGGGGGGCTCCGGAGAGGGGCTCATTTCTGGCCCGGGGGCACCTGACTCAGGGGTTGCAGCTGCTGTGGGGGCTCTGGGACGACCTCAGCCCACAGTGACGCTGAAGCCACAGTGGAATCGGTTGCGCCAGTGATTGAGGAAGGCGCCAAGGGCCAGGGTGACGGGCAGTGGGGGCATCTTCTTCTCCAGCACGGCGCCCACGCACCAGTTACTGTCGACCATGCCTGTGGGGAGGGGAATGCAGACTCGGTCGCTTCACGAGCTGGGAGAAAGGGGCCTCAGAAGGAAGGTGAGGCTTCCTGCCCCCTGCTCGCCCCAGCCCCCTCGGCCCCTCTCCTCCGAACATCGAACATCGCCTCAGTAACCCTCACCTCTAAACACCATGTTGGCCTGGGGCAGGGTCAGATGGTAGCCAAAGGAAAAGGCTGTGTCTTGTAGCCTTGTGTTTGCCTCAAACTCCACTCCAACCTGAACCTGAGGGTCATGGGCAAGGATGGGAGAGGGGTCTGTCTCGGTGGAGGGGTCCCAACCAGCGTCAGCGGCATGGAATGAGAGTGCGGGGGTCCGCGCGCGGGAAGAACAGTAGGTTGGGGAGCGGAGGTCGGGGCGGGCGTCGTGGCCGCTGTGCCGGGTGGGGGATGGGTCAGCAGTCTCACCTGCTCATTCGCTCTGTGGTAATAGCTGGCATGGGCCCCACCTGATCCCACATTCAGTGTAGCCACCCAGTGTACAGCTGCGAAAACCGAAGTGGAGAGGAGGCGCGTCACCGTCGCCGTCACCACAGCAGCACGCGCGCCGGAGACCTGGCCACGCCCAGAACCGCCCCGCCCCCCACTCCTCCGTACTCGAGTACTTCCCGGCCAGGGTCAGGATGGCTCCCTCTTCTCCTGGCCGTCGGTGATAAACCAGCTCCCCTCCCAACACCAGCCGATGAGTGAGGCTCTGCAGGAAGTGAGCGACCACAATCACTAGAGTGGGAGACGTGGAGTCAGTCGTAGAGAAGCCCTCACCCCCAGAAGCCCCCACCCCAGCCGCCCGAGAAGCTGCTTTTCTAATCCCTGCAGTGTACAGACGACAGAGGCATCGCCGACGTGAGCGAGTGGGCAGCCAAGATAAAAAGAACCCTGTCCTGGTCCCTCACCCGATTCCCCAATCAGGTCAGGGTTTCCCAGGGTCAGCGTGGCCGTGTAGTCACCACCCCGATACTCGCCATCAAACTGCCATGTCAGGAACTTGGACTGCTGTGTCTGGGTGGGGAGAGGAAGAAGTGAACCCTCTTTCCCCGTTTGCCATCACTACCGCCTCTGCTCCTCTCCCTGGAGCCCCGCCCCACTCCCCCCAGGACGCTGGTGGAGGAGGAGGAAAGTGCTTCGGTAGATGAAGGCAGGAGCCATGGGTCACCTGGAAGACAGCCTTGGCTCGGAGCCGCTCTGCCAAGAGGAGCAGGACCTGGGCGTTAAGGCTGCCACTGCTGTCCAAATCCCCTAGCACGGTGGGGAACACCTGTTGGAGTGTAGTCGGGAAGACTAAGTGGGTGGCTCCACTCTGGCTAGAGCCAAATACTGTAGGTTTTCGCGGTAACCAGCGCCCCCCAGTGGAGGCACAAAGAAAAACTCCCACCCACCACACACAAATGGGTCCCCGCCCTCTCCCCCTCAGAAGAAAAAACCCAGAGAAGCGGGCCGGGGCCCTGCCCGTTCCTCCCCACGACACCCATATTTCCTCCTCTTCCAGGCCTGGGCCCCAGGTGGGCTGTTGGGGAGATGGCCCAGGTATGTGGAGCCCTCACCTCAGTGGGGCTGAGTTGCCAGTCCCCCGCATAGGCCGCGTGGAGGTGGTAGCCCGGCAGCCCCAGGGTGCTCATGTGCACGGCGTGAGTCACCTGCGGGGAGAGAGGCCAGAGGAGGGCAGAGACTTCCTGCTCCGTTTCCATCCCCGTGCCACCCTCATCCTCTCCCCATCCAGCAGGCCTTTGAGAATCCCAAATGTGCCAGCATGTGCAGAGGGTCGCCTGATTCAAGGCAACGAGTCCCACAGGCAAGGGAGGTCAAGAGAGCCCCACATTCGCCCTCCCACAGGCCGGGAGGGACAGGGAGGAGGGGCTAGAGAAGTGGGAGCACCTGGAAATGGCTGCTCAGAACCTTGTTGACCACGAGCTTCACTCCGTCCATCTGTGCTGGGAATACGTCTGAAGTGGGGGAGGAACAAGGACGCGATGAGCACAGACAAAGCACCCTACCCCAAGAAGCAGTCTCTCCTTTCCACCCGCAGAAAGCGCTTTGCAGGAACTGACCTCCTCCCTTCAGGCCCTGCAAGGAAGCGCTGCACCCCATGCGGGCAGCTGGTCTGCCCTGAGGCTAGCTGTCCCCGCTATGTGCCCCCCTTCCCTGCTCCCATCGCTGGACACCCAGCATTCTAGACCCGCCCACCTCTGCCCTTTCAGCCTGAGACACCCAAATGCCAACTTCTCACCTTTGCATAGCCGGTGCAGCTCATCGAAGCTCCCGGGGTTGGGCAGAGGTTCCTCTCGACGGGGGCTCCGGCGGGGCAAAGCCCCAATCGGTGCCAGGCCCAGCGTGTTCCCCATTTCAGTCCAGAGGACGGGGAGGGGCAGGGGTTAGCCTGGGAAAGGATGCTATTCCTCCCTCTACCCCCCACGGGCCCCACCTCCCATCATCCGGCTCCCCAATCCCAGAAACTTCCACATGGTCCGACGCTAGACCTGGAACGCGAAGAGTCGGGGGAGAGGACACCGGTGGGGAGACTGAATACCGGGCACAGTTCCGTCTCATCTTTGATCCCTCACCCCCATCTGTCACCCCTGGTCCCTACCCGGCTCTCTAGCCCTAGCCCCAACCAGAGACCTCGCCCAGCTTCCTACTCTTTCTGCTCTTCATTCCTAGGCCACAAGGCGAGGCTTGCAACGGAGCAGTAGCCCTTACCGTCTCAGAGCATCGTGCAGCCCCTATCCCCCCGGCACACCCCGGTCATCTTGATGGGGGCAGCCATCTTGAGTGATGGCAGAACTGCGGCTTCACGCTGCATTTTCGGCGTGGCCATGAACGCCATTTTGGAAGTGGGCAAAAGAAAGCTTTCAAAGACCCGACCTACCCTCGATTGGGCCCCGCCCAATCGACTTAAAAAAAAAAAAAGAGGCGCGGTCTCCCAGAGGCCAATGGGAGAGGAGGAAGCAGAGGAGCGGCAGGCCCAGCGTCCAGAGAGCTCCGGCCCCGGCCGCAGCTGCAGAGGTGGACGGGGCTCGGTGACAGCCCCGAGATTTAACTCAGTGAGTGATGGCCTTAGGTCGCTCCGCCTGGGAGCGTTCAGGACACTAGAGGGAGCGTCTTGGAGCTTGGGCCGCTAAAGCTCCCCTCCTCTGCCTTTTGAGGAGAGCGGCGGAGGGTACGAGCAGGC